AATAAACATAATAGTAAACTTTTTATATATGCTGTTTATGAAATCAAATCAAGTCAATCGTTTTCTGTTGATATATATATATATATATATCTGTTGATGTCACAAAAAAGACACAGTTACGTGTATCACTAAGCAATATAATCAGTAGAATCACTGAAAAGCCACTTTACATTTTCAATACAAACAACTTTTCATTATTCCTTTCAAATATTGCATATTTACTTCTTATAAACATGAATTTACTTACTTATGTAATGGATCAAAATAGTCTGCAAACTTTCAGTGGCAACTCTGGTTGAAAGTGTTAATAAGCAATTGAGCTCAAGTTCTTTCGTTAGGGAATTTGCAATCTTGTTTAGATAATATCTATACTTCCAGCTCTCGAATAGGTTCAGTAAATGTAGCATATCTTCATAGGAACCACATTCAAATTCAAGCAAGATGCATGCTTGCATACACCCTTTCAAGACTATGTCCGCGTTTGCTGATAAGAATTCGAGCAACTTGATAACTTTGTTCTTAACATTCGGGAAGTCTTCGTCTTCACTACCCGTAATAACATTATTTAGAACAGTTACAAGGATTTTCTCGCCAATATCTTTCCAATCGTCAGACGGACCATCTACTGCTAACACTGTTCTCACTCCAACTACAATACAAGAACGATTTTAACAATTAATCTCAATGTATGAAATAAAACATTCATTCATACGCTTATTGATTCCATATTTATTATAGCATTTTTTTACTTCAACAAACAGTATTTGACAAAACAACGCACAACTTTAAAGCCAAACCTAGCCCGCAACATCTTAAATTTTGTCGTTAATGCGTTCTTAAGCGTTTCTGTTTCTCTTTATACTCTAAATTTTCTAGAAATTACATTATTTGTATGGAATTCATTTAACATGTCATAGATAGGATTTCGAAATGTTAAAAATGAAATAGAATAAATAAATGTAATAACGATGAAATACTTCAACCTACCTTTGAATGTTTGCTGTCCTGTTTGGCTCAACCCATTTATAGTGGCAATTGATGGCCTAACGGCTGTTAAATAGAATAAATGTATACGTTCTAAGGTCAAGTTTTATTAGAAAACAATATGAATGGGGAGCCATTGTCTAGGTTGCAATTCAAAAAGTTGTATGTTTTACAATAATGAATTATCCTTTAGTAAAATTTGAAAATTGTTTTATATAGGTATATTGCACAATTTTTGAAGACTTGATGTGTGATTGGGTATTTTTTTCACCAGATTCACATAATGTTTCAAATACTCGTAGTTATGTTGTAAGAGCGCTCAGTACTTATAAAAAGATCTTGATTACATTTTATTACATTTCTTAAAAGTAGAAAAATAATAACTAATAACGCGTTAAGTGACAATTTGGTCACTATCACTAATTTAAAATTTAAATATTTGAAATATATGCTTACCATCTAATGACCCACATTTAAACTTCTTTATATGCGTAAAACAGACATCCTTTGTGTAATTATCGAAAGTAGAGGCCAATTCATTCAAAACATCTTCAAGCTGCTCGATAACGTCTTCATACTCGTCTTCATCCAATGAAACATTTGCACAGTGCATAAACACCTCATTTCGCAGTTGTTTTAAGACAAATAAATCCCTTTTTTCAGTTTTTGAAATCGTTCCCCGAAAGATAATGGATATTACCCCAATCAACAGTTGTAAGTCCCAAGTGTTTATATCCGGTACACCGTTATCTGGGAATAGTTTTTGGTACTGTTTTCCGTGAAACTCATGCCTCAGTTTTGTACTGAAGTCGCTTAGCAGTGATTCTAAATCCCGTCCAGATTTGTTTTGTTCTCGAATTAATATTGCCTTTGCAATAAATGTACCACCTTCTACTAGTAATAAAAAAGCCCTAAGGAAGTGTGTCTGTTCTATATCTGCCATCCCATGATGTGTTGGTGTGAAATTCTAATTGGGAGAAACAAAAACCATCAAATGAACTTTGTTGGTCTTAACCTACTGCTAAATCCCACCCAAAGTTTTATGTGCAATTTATTGTCCCAATGTATTTATGTGATTTATTTTGACATAGATGTTTATTGTACTACTGTCAAATCCTTTGCAAGTAAGTCGGATGTTACTATGGTCACGGCAGATGATGTTACTTGCTACTGGCGAAAGTTATGTAACTAGTCATGATCTGAAACATGTTAAACATCTTTAATAAAACTGATCTCAGTGTCATTCTACATACTAATATTACTTCTTATAAATAATGAATGCTTTAAGTGAGTAATATCATTCAGTTTCAACATAACAAGTTTTCCATACTTAATGACGTTTAATAGTATTTTAATCACAAATAAAAGAGATATTCTTTTATTAAATATACCGTATATCATAAGACAAGAGCGATCAGTAATCACATGTGTCGCCTCATGATGGCCAATTTCATGTTGAGACTAATTTTAAGACAGACGGACAGACAGACGGACAGTGCACAACTAGACTAACCACTTTGTACTGATCATTCCTGTAAAGTTTGGATAAAATTGCACCAGTAGTTTATGAGGAGTAGTCCGGACAAGCTTTTGTGTATCTGGCAACACACAGAAAAAAACACCTTTTTATCAAAGGGCCATAACTCGGCCAAAAATCATTCAACCGGAAAACCCGTGCAATATGCGCAAGGACTTGAGCTACAGATCAATCCTGTAAAGTTTCATTGAAATTGCATAAGTGGTATAAGAGAAGTAGTCTGGACAAACTTTAAAAATAAAAATTTTTTAAAGGGCCATAACTCAAACAAAAATCATTGAACCGGAAAATGCTGACAATATGCACAACTAGACTTGGTACTGATCATTCGTGTAAAGTTTGGATGAAATTGCACCAGTAGTTTATGAGGAGTAGTCCGGACAAGCTTTTGTGTATCTGGCAACACACAGAAAAAGAAACCTTTTTATCAAAGGGCCATAACTCGACCAAAAATCATTCAACCGGAAAACCCGTGCAATATGCGCAAGGACTTGAGCTACAAATCAATCCTGTAAAGTTTCATTGAAATTGCATAAGTGGTATAAGAGAAGTAGTCCGGACAAACTTTAAAATTAAAAATTATTAAAGGGCCATAACTCTGACAAAAATCATTGAACCGGAAAATCCTGACAATATGCACAACTAGACTTGGTACTGATCATTCCTGTAAAGTTTGGATGAAATTGCACCAGTAGTTTATGAGGAGTAGTCCGGACAAGTTTTGTGACGGACGGACGGACAGACGGACAGACAGACGGACAGACGGACAGACAGACGACGGAGAAGTGATCCCTATATGTCGCCACTACTCCGTAGAGGCGACACAAAAACTGGTAACAATATAAAATAAAAATTGTATGACTGAAGATTGAATCTCCATAACGATTATTTGCTTTCTTGAATCACAATCTATTGTCTAAACATATAAAATAAAAATAGTTTAAACAACCACATCTTAATCACTCACAAACAAAGATTCCATGAAACTGTAAATATTGAATTAAATGTAAAAATGGTTACATGGTTTAAATTCATCAGAAAATAAAGGTACCCCATTGGTTTAAATATAAACAACGTGTATCGCATCATATCAGTATATCCACAATTAATAATTCATTGATGAATACAAATTACAAGTGTTTAAAATATGACAAACTGCCACTTCGTTTTAAGTTTGATTAGAATATTTATATATTGACCATTGAATTGTAAGGGTGTGAGGTAAGCTAATGTAATTTTAGGGTATTTTTCATTGGTGAATTAAGTTAAGTTTGCAAAACGTTTATTTAAAAAAAAGGAATGCGCTTACCACATTATCTAAAAGTTTTTTTGCTATCATTATATAAAACTTATCGTGCGGAAAGTATTGTGATGGTTTGAAAATATCTGCAGCATCATATCAAATGTTGCAAATTATTCATCGTATTTCAATCATAAATTATATTCATATGTTGTTCAAATTAAAATAAAATGATAAGTTGATATAGGCCTTTTACTCATTTTTTACACACTGTTTTTTTTAAATATATGATTAATTCATACATAAAAATGAATACTTCTGTCACACATAAATATCTATCACTATTAATCAAGATGTCAAGAACAGGTTGAAATCAAAATTAACTAGAACTGCCACTAACATGGCGTGAATACCCCCGCATACCACTTTGTCAACAGTGGCCATTTAGAACTCAAGGACAACCTCCCTGCCAAATCTGAGGTGACTAAGCCAGTGCATTAATAAGTTATGTATTCTACATGCTTCAAATGTGAAAATGTCAAAATCAATACACTCTGGACAGGCATTCTGAGGGGAAAAGCTTTATTTTGACAAGGTCCCTGTGACCTTGACCTTTGACCCAGTGACCTCAAAATCAATACGATCATTTACTAATCATGACTAACCTCCATGCCAAATATGAAGATTGGGGGTCATAGGAACCTTAAGTTATTTGGCGGACAAACTTTTTGAAGTCAAGGCCCCTGTGACCTTGACCTTTGACCTGGTGACCTCAAAATCAATAGGGGTCATCTACTAATCACGACTAACCTCCATGCCAAATATGAAGACTGTGGGTCGAAGGAATCTTAAGTTATTGGGCGGACAAGCTTTTTGAAGTCAAGGCCCCTGTGGCCTTGACCTTTGGCCTGGTGACCTCAAAATCGATAGGGGTCATCTACTAATCACGACTAACCTTCATGCCAAATATGAAGACTGTGGGTCATAGGAATCTTAAGTTATTGGGCGGAAAAGCTTTTTGATTTCAAGGCCCCTGTGACCTTGACCTTTGACCAAGTGACCTCAAAATCGAAAGGGGTCATCTACTTATCATGACTAACCACCATGCCAAATATGAAGACTGTGGGTCAAAGGAATCTTAAGTTATTGGCGGACAAGCTTTTTGATGTCAAGGCCCCTGTGACCTTGACCTTTGACCTGGTGACCTCAAAATCGATAGGGGTCATCTACTTATCATGACTAACCTCCATGCCAAATATGAAGACTGTGGGTCAAAGGAATCTTAAGTTATTGGGCGGACAAGCTTTTTGAAGTCAAGGCCCCTGCGACCTTGACCTTTTGACCTGGTGACCTCAAAATCGATAGGGGTCATCTACTAGTCATGACTAACCGCCATGCCAAATATGAAGACTGTGGGTCAAAGGAATCTTAAGTTTTTGGGCGGACAAGCTTTTTGAAGTCAAGGCCCCTGTGAATTTGACCTTTCACCTAGTGACTCAAAATCAATAGGGGTCATCTACTTATCATGACTAACCTCCATGCCAAATATGAAGACTGTGGGTCAAAGGAATCTAAAGTTATTGGGCGGACAAGCTTTTTGAAGTCAAGGCCCCTGTGACCTTGACCTTTGACCTGGTGACCTCAAAATCAATAGGGGTCATCTAATTATCATGACTTACCTCCATGCCAAATATGAAGACTGTGGGTCAAAGGAATCTTAAGTTATTGGGCGGACAAGCTTTTTGAAGTCAAGGCCCCTGTGACCTTGACCTTTGACCTGGTGACCTCAAAATCAATAGGGGTCATCTACTAATCACGACTAACCTCCATGCCAAATATGAAGACTGTGGGTCAAAGGAATCTTAAGTTATTGGGCGGACAAGAAAAAACCGACGGACGCCGGACGGCCAGACGGACAATCTGAGTTGTGCGGGGGTATAATAATCCACTCGTGAACATGCGACAAGAAACAACAGATCTAAATGAGTTTAATAGACCACTTTTTTATATTGTAGCTATATTGAACACGCCATGGAATTGCAAAATTGACCTGCGTATAGATTTTCTTTTTCATTTCACTTATGTGACTAATCTTTTATCATCTTTTGATATACCAGTATATACATGTATGTGTATCTATATAATAATAAATATTAAGTATATTTGTTTCTATATAATATTAAGTAAATTTGTATCTATATAATATTAAGTATATATACAAAATGTACATTTTAATATTTCATATGTGAATAATCAACTTTTAGATCTTAAGAACAAAACCATTTAATTATGTTACAATTAAACTTTCACTTGTTTTCGATTGAATATATTACTCAATACACTTGTAGATCTACTTGTTAATTTTTCACCTCGTATTTCATTTCTAATTCAACAATAAGGTTAGAAAATTATGTACTAGTATAATTTAACCCATAAGAAGTAAAATTGAATGAATATATATGATAACTTTTCATACCAAGATGTGTCATGAGAAAATTTGAAAGAGAAAGTAGAACATTTACTTACATGTAAAATTTACATTATGATAATTCAATAAATATATCCATAACATAAAGCAATAATCAATATAAATAACAACACATTAATATTTCATTTCGTTCTTGAGAAGATTTTAAACAACGTAACAGATAAAAAACAAATATGGGAAATTCTTAACATATCTACTTCCGTAAACAAGTGGTTATATCTAAAATCCGTACCTCCACCCGTACATAAATCGGATACGGTCAAAGTTTCGTCCTACGTTATTTTCGCAATATACATACTATAGTTTATAAATAAAACAGACAACCAGTTATCAAAAGCTTAATTAAAATGTAAACAATAAATAGGATTTGCCCGTGTTTATATCTTAATATAAATTTTTTTTTGAATATTTCAGTATGATATAATCATTTAATGATATCACTCTCGCGACTATGCTCTATGGAGAGTGAGGCGATTACTGCAGATGATGATAATGATGATGATGATATGTATAACTATTTACATGAGTATAGTTTAATTGATTAGAACAAATAAAAAGAAAAACTGAAAAAAAATAGAATTCTGGAACAAGCTTAATTTGTTTTTCATAGATTAACTCGCCGAAGAAAGCTTCAAGAGCGTATTCAGACAATTTGAATATGTCGGCGTGTAGAGAGCTTGTGACAACATTTTTTATACAAAAGAACAGTCCAGTCTGATGAGTAAGTTTAGATTGTTGAAAAATGATATTAAAATCATTATTAAAAATAAAGATATATATACGATAATTTAAATGAAACAGCTTTTTCCTCTTATTATTTCTTTCCTGTATTGACTTAGCGACTTTAAGATGCAAAATAGAAAAGTCAAATACGAAAATCGGCAGCAGATTATATAAAAATTTAATACGATATGCCAGCAAAATGTCAAACTCTTAGATATGAGTCCAAAATTATCTCTCCGACCTCGTATATCAAAATTATGTCGGCAGCGAGTACACCAAAAACAAATCGAACAATTTTCCCCATTATTTTTATAAAAGTAACATTTCTCTTACGGTAATTGTGTCTATTAGCAACCCGAGAATTGAAATGACACCCCAGGCGGAGCCGAGGGTGTTGTATCAGTTCAAGGGTTGCTAATATGCACTATTACCCTGATAGATGTGTTATTTTTTATTATACTGAACTAATATGTGTGCAGGGCGGCTGTTTGGGTCTACTAGAAGTAGAATATTACGTTTCCTTAAGTCTATATAGATTTACTTGCGCTGGGGAATATCGCAAAAATATTGAACGATTGATATTTATTTCCAGGATAATAGATCGGACGGCACATAAGGCTTTATAGTAAAATGTTTACGTGAGATACAATAAATGAGTTATATATGTTGCTGGCGATTTATACGGGAATTTAACACCTGACGTATCATTGTCTTATATTCTTATCTAAGCATTTTTAGTCAAATTCAGAGTACCATAAAGTATAATTTACAGGTATAAAATAAACAAATAAGTTGATACATGCCGGGTTCATGGGATGTTATTATATGTGTAAAGCTTTACAGATAGTAAGTAGAATGAAAACAAGTTAATATATGAAACAGTTTCAGACAGAATAAACAAAATAAAAAAAAAAAAAAAAAAAAAAAAAAAATAAATAAAATAAATAAATAAAAAAATAAATTAGGAAGTTATGAAACTGACATTATATCCCGTTAATTGGCAGCTAGAAGATTTTAAAACATTTAACGTTAACGATAAGTACATCAAAATATTTTATTGTTTAAGGTCTGTTCGGTCTGCCAACCAAGCGTTTAGCAAAAGACCATTTTCTACTGTTGATGGGGAAAAGTGGCATCGTATATGCTTTGAATCAACCAGATATATGTATGTAACAATAATATGTAAAATTGTATGTATACAACAATCAAATATATGTAACAATTTTATGTCTGTAATTATCATATGTATGTAATAATTGTATGTAAATAAATAATAATACTTATATGTAACAATTATAATATTATATATGTAAAAATTAAATGTATGTAACAATCTTATGTATGATCATGTTAGTGTAACAGTTGTATGTAATTAACAATCTAATGTATGTAACTATTGTATGTATGTAAAAATAATACTAAAATAACAATTATAATATTATATGTGTAAAAATGAATGTATGTAACAATCTTATGAGTAGTATAGTATGCCCTGTAGCTCCCTTATTCGCTCGTCCTCGTCTGGGTAGTTACAATGACCTTAACCGAGTTAGGTACATGTTTATGACCTGTATTCTATATATAGACGACCACGTGTTTATATACACATGTACATACCCTCTATTCTATACATAGACGTAGTAGTGGAAATTAAGAATTTCATTATATTATATGTTGTTTTATCTTTTACATTTTGAATTTACCGCTTTTTAGCTTTCATCTATTTACACCGTAACTTGAATGGAAATATTTTTAGGTATCCTACGCTCAAAAAAATAGAAGATTTATACCCCAATATATTACATAATGTAATAGTTTCTTTCAATATCATATTTACCTGTATGTAAAGATAAGTCCTGCTTAAAACGTTGAAAGAAGGTTCTTCATTGTAGAAAATAAATGCCATATTGTGGTTTCTTAATTAAAAATGGAAGTAAATTAACCAGTTTCCAACCGAGAAAAGCATAGGTTTGCCACTATCATATGTATGTCACAATCATATTAATGCAGCTCTAATATTTACGTAAGAACCATGTCTATATAGCAGGTTTATGTATGTATTAATGATTGTACATAATTATGTATGTCATAGTTATACGTTTGTAGTAACCATTTGAATTGAACCAAAGTATGAATGTAACAGTCATATGAATATGAACACCGTTTTTAAGTAAAACAATATGTTTGTCATAATCTAATATATGTAAGATATGATGAGTATCCACAGTCATGATATTGTCCCAATTATATTTTGTAAGAATGACGTGTGTCACAATCATATATATGTAAAACTGTACGTATATTACAATAATATGTTCGTCAAAATCATATGTATGTAGCAGTTATAGGCATTTACGATCGTATGTATGTTACAAAATATTTATGTAGCAAAATTTGTGTGTAAAAGCATATGTGTACAGAAAACTGTGTATGAAGCAAACATATATATGCAACAATTGTTCATATATAACACTAATATTTATGCGTATGTGTATGTGTATGAATGTGTATGTAACAATCGTATGTATACAATCAAGATGCATGTAATAATTTTATGTTTGACTGTTATGTTTGACTGTTACACGTATATTACAATCATATAATGAAGTTTTTTGTCAAAGGGAATATTAAATGTAAACTATGACAAATACTTTAAAAGCTTAGATTAAACTATTCAGCTATCCTTATCTAAATGTTTGCTGAAACAACTTAAGTGACCACAAAAATATTATCCTTTTTAAATAATCTTAACAATTATTTCCAGCGCAAACATTGTGACTGCTATTTTCTATTTATAATTGAACAATCAGAAATTGTAAAAAATGTAAGTTTTTATTTGCTGCTAAAATCAAATTCTATTTTTATCTATATCAGTAAGTCCTCCTTTATATCTAAGAGTCACACAATTAAAATTAATAATTGCGAAAAAGGATCCGTGAATGTAGCAATCAACTGTAAAATGAAATCTTTTTATGTTTAAATATGAAATCAAAGATCAACAGGGAAAGCAATGTCTACGGAACACAGAGCTCGATACAATCAACCACAGAGGATCATCGTAAAAGCACCAAGTTTGGCGAAGCCATATCTAATAATGGGACAACGAATAATAAGAGAAATGACTCAATTCATTAAATAGATAACATGTGATTGTATTTATTTCCGCTATATGTTCTTTATTATTCATTTTAACTTCACTGTACTCTTTATTTTTATAACACATGTACGAGTAAGTTGATAAACAATTTACTCAACACGGAATTAAAGTCCAAATGACAGACTTTAGATATAAAATAGAGAGCACGGCTGACGCATGCGCATATAATTTCGAATTGTAATTCATAAAATAAAATTTCAATAAAGCCTTTAATAATATTATATTTAGAATTAAAAATGTTCAAAGATTTTAGAATCTGGAATCAAGTATATCAAAATCAAGGACTATCATTTTCCTGATGAATTCGGTGCAGACATAACTTGTAAGTAAAATGCTTGTTTTTGTTTCACATTTTCATAAAGTACAGTATCCATAGAAACAAGCGAGGTTTTACGCACGCGTAAAATTGTTGCGAAGGAATGGTCAGCTACCTGCACTCAGCTGAATAAAATAATACCCCTACGAATGTCGGTTTAGATCTGCTCAGTTATTGAACTTAAAGGGGAAGCAATTCGAAACAGAAATTCACTATACCAGTACTCGTTTGATAATGTCACATGACTGGTAGCTTAATAAACAGGTAACCAATAATTGTGTCAGGAGAATCTATTTATGCGACTAATTAATAAAAGACTCGTATGCGAAGCAGCCGAATAAAGTTGTTTTCTAATAAATTATATAAAGTGACTAAATTCAAATACATTTGTATAAAGGAAACCTTCTATATATTTTGAAAACAAAATACATAAGACAAATGCGTTATAACACACATAATGACATTTAATAAGGAATGTCGCGTCCTTCTTAAATTACAAAAATAATCTGTGACTAAATTCAAATACATTTGTATAAAGGAAACCTTCTATATATTTTGAAAACAAAATACATAAGACAAATGCGTTATAACACACATTTTTGTAATTTAATAAGGAATGTCGCGTCCTTCTTAAATTACAAAAATAATCTGCTGTTCAAGTTTAAAATCAGATTTTGAATAGTTATTGTTTGCTGTACCGTGACGTTTATTTGTATGCCGTTTGAAAATATTTATCTTTTCAATATCATTTAAAACGACCTATAGAAAAGCTATGATAAAGAACGGAAGTTTTTTAACTTTGGAAACGAAAAGGTCAAACAAAGAAAACTTTACACCCAAAACAAACTCTAACAATTATTGCATATTCACAAATCTAAATGTCAACGGACGTTTTAGCAATTTCACAATATTGCATAATTACGTTTTCCTTTATCATCCTATACATTTGATGTTTAGTCAGATTAAAAATTCAAAAGTTATCAATACAAATTTTAATTGTTTCTCAATGTTTTTTTTTTCAAAGACTACTTTTATGTAGTTATCAAGTGGAGAAGATAAGTTTTTTTTAAATGAAATTCAACTTAAGTTTTGCTTTCTTTTCAGAAAAATTAAAAAGATACAGCAAGAAGATCATCAGAAGTTAATGGCTTCTAAAGAAAACATATACTTCTTACGGTCCTTTTTATTACTTATTGAAGGTGGCTTATATATTTCAAAAGAAATTTTAAGTCGAGAATGTCAAAAGTCTGAAAATGACCTTGATGAATTGCTCAAAATTAATGAACGGAAATTGAAACATTTGTTTCATGACAAGCAATACAAGAAATTATATCCCGAATTTGGCAAAGCCGATATCAACAGCTGGGATTTGCAACTGTCAGTTGGTGTTTTGATAAATGTGTTTGGGAGAAACCTTACATTGGTTGAAAAGGAGAAACTAAGAACGTTAAGAGATATAAGAAATGATATTTATATGCACTGCACAACTGCTGCTCTAGATGAAAAGGAATATGAAGATGTGAAAGAACAATTAGATGACATCATTACAACATTAGCGTCAACGTTTGATATATCAGTACAACAACGTTGTTCAAACTACATCAAACAGTTTACTTCAGAACAATTAGATGGTATTATAACATTTTTAATACTTAAAAACTTAAGAATAAACTTCAAATGTAAATTTATATAATTTTTCAGTTACATGTTTGTTTTAATTTTTTAATAAAATAACAATAACTTTATCAGCATTTTTTGAAAAATGACTGTTTTCATTAAAAGGCTCCTGTAACAAGTTCAAATTGCTATGAAATTACATGTATAAGAAAGGCTTCAATACTGTTCAAACTTGGCACAAATGTTGACTGGACCATGGTTTTTGTAACAGCATACTCTATCTTAAATAACCTGTTAACATGGCAACGTGGTGGCAAAAATTACTATTTTGCGTTGATTTTTCCATTAAAACTGATTTTAAAGTGCTGCAACTTCTCGATGGGTTGAGATAGAGCCCAACTTCTCGATGGATTGAGATAGAGTCAAAAGCTTTCGGCGTTGGTTACACGTTACCTTAAGGTCGACTTGAGGCCAATTTTAGCCTGTTACAAGTCCAAAATTTTCTTGGACTCTACCGACCTCCTTCAGATTCCAAAACAGAAGGGGGCAGATCCCCCCTCTGGCACCCCCTTGATGTATCTATTTGAAAGGGAAAGTGATCACGTCTCTAAACATCATTTCGGTAACGAAAACAAATGTTTGGGGTCTAAATAGGGCATTTTTTTCACTATTTGAGGCCTCAAAAAAGTGGGGGGGGGGGGTGAAAAGGCTTAAAAAGACGTCTATAAAATGACTGCCTTCTACTAATGGGCACTGGGCACGTATCTTGCTTGAGGACCAAGATCGGAAAGAAGCTTCAAATATGATCTTTATTTACATTTGAGCCACAATTGAACTAATGGCCATCTTTATTTATTGTCCGCATAATTATGCAAAATTCATAATAAAAAGCAAAATAGAACTTCAACTGACGTTTTTAATTTTTCTCATAAAATATTTCCCACTTTAAAAGCATGTGTTTATATTTTTCTTTAATATTATCAAAAATAAAGTTTATTTCATTATCGAAATATTTTCAACTATCCTAGTAGCTATAAAGACGCGATAAATGAAAGTATGTTCAAATCAATAAATGTGTAACAGATTACAGGTAACAAGAGTTATACAAGGTCGAAAGGTAAAATGTGCCTTGTAGTGCTAGGATTAAATTTATTACGTTTCAAAGCTTTTCCTTCTACATTTTAGTATATAGGAAAGGCTTTCAACATTTGATTAGGAATACCTCTTAAGGACGTTTTAGGAGAGTTCATATGAAAACTGAAATGAAAATGAAAATGAAAACTGGTCAATAGAATTTCTTTAAACTTGGCATGTTGTTAGAATATGATAACAGAAACATTTTAAATGGAAAAAATGGGGCCACGTTCTCATTTTCAAGTTATCTGCCCTAGTATTGGATTTTTTTGTTAAATTCATGGGCAGATAATTTACAAAGAAGGGAAACAATACATTTATTTCTTTATTTTCATGAAGTTAACCTTAGTTTTCATCGATATGAAATTTTCAGAAACGAATTAACAGTGGATAGGTTTTTTCACTTCCTCCTTTTACCTGTGTATTATTTGTTTTAAAAAATGGCCTATTTTTAAGAATTTTAATTGAAAAAGTTAACAGAAACGATATAAGGAACACAGGTGTTCGTCCAGTCTTGGTGCCCATATAACACGCCCTAGGACACGCTGTGAAACAACCACAATGTCGAGTTCTGTAACAATACAAGCTATTTTGCTACTCACAACATTCTCCTTCTACCTCACATACAATCATAAATAACCTATATTTAAACTCGGACACTCCAACTTGTTAAAATTTTTGCAAAACACCAGTGATTATCGGCCATTTTGTCGAAAACGAACGTACAAAACATTTACCGTATTGTTCCGCTGTCCTGGTAACCTAGGACTACGTTCGCTGAACAAAAGACAATAGTAACCAATAAATTGATGGTTACCGTTGTCTACTGTTCTGCGGACGTAGTATTAGGCCGCGTCTACACCTATCCATATCTTGAATGCAAGTATCATATTCTCTTGTATTGGAAAATGTAGACACCCTTCTTGAACGTTTTATTAAGAGAAATATGTGACATACATAAAGATAATTTCATGCAAGAAAATTAGAACAGGTTCTATTTTTCTACAAGTTTTTGGCTGTCAAGACACTGATAACACCAGTTTGACACAAGACATGTGCCCGAATGCGTGGTAGTGCTGTTATCTTTATTATTTTCTGACTTTTGTTGTTGATTCAGTGTATGTGACCGTTGAATTTCAGTAAATGTTTACAATGTCTTGGTCAAAGGAACAAATCAATACGCTGATACACAGACGAGCAAAAAAAAAATAAATAAATAAAAATAAAAAAGAACGTAGGCCGCGTCTACACCTTACATGTCACATTTAGTTAAGCTACATAAATGGCTCTTTCAATATTTAATCAGGCACAACTTTTACTAAAATGTCTAATTAAGATTGCCCAGGATTTATACCTTTGTCTTTGCAATACTATCATACTTCTGTAAAATATGTGAATAACAAAAGCGGGAAAATGATGCATTTAGCTAAAAACAATGGAGTAAATGAAATTGAAATGTATACATTCTTTTAAATAATGGAAAATGTGAAAAAAAAAAAATTGAGCTGATAAATTGATGCTGATGAAGTTATGGACGGGCCCTAAGGAAACCAGGAGAGCGGAACAGCACGATGTAGATTTTGTACTTTCGTTTTCGACAAAATGGCCGACCGTCAACGGAATTTTGCAAGATTTTAACAAATTGGAGTGTCCGAGTTAAAATGTAAGTCCTTTAAAATTGTACATAAGGTAGAAGAAGAATGCTAACAATTTTCTAAATGCATTATGTGTAAAGACTAGCAAAGTAGCCTGTATTGTTACAGAACTTGACACTGTGGTTGTTCCACAGCGTGTCCTAGTAAAGCTCCATAGTGATACGGCGACTAGGTGACCTTTTCTTAGTAAATGGTATATAAGAAAGAAATTTTTTGTCAATTTTTTTTTCTTTCACTTAACCTAGAATAGTTGTTTTGTTTGTTTGTTTGTTGTTTTTTTTTTTTTTTTTTTATTTCAATTTCTTTTTAAATGGAGAGCTCCTGTGATAAGGAATTGTATTTTATTATGTATTGTACTCAACAATAAAAAGAAAAACATAATCCAGAAGTAAAAGCAAGAATTCATTTAAGGATGTATAAGTTGTATTGTTTCCCTTCATTACCTGCCTTGAATTTAACGAAAAAGCCCAATTCAAAGGGCAGAAAACTCGAAAATGTGAATGGTGACCCCATTTTGTTTCCGTTTAGAATTTTCTGTTATCATATTCTAACAACATGCCAAGTTTAAAGACATTATATTGAATAGTTTTCATTTTGCCTATATGTCTATATGAAAACTCCCGAAAACGTCCTAAATACATCAAGTACATATACTTACTTGCAAGCTGTTAAATCTATATTAGATTTTTCTGAAGGTTTACCTTTAAGAATGTTATATTTATTTTGATTTAGTGGTATGTTTTATATTTTATCATTATTGCAGTCGTAAGACCATCTTTACAAACATTGAATGGATTTAGCCAGTCATGTCAAAAGAAGCTAAAAGGTGTGTAAATGATTTTTTATATCGTGTTTTTAGCTCGACTTTTTTTTTTTTTTTTTTGAAAAAAAAAGTAGAGGTATTGTTATAGTCGGGTCGGCGTTGCCGTTGCCGTTCCCGTTGCCGTTCCCGTCCGCAAACTTGTACCTGGATCATAACTTTTTTATTTCTTGGTGTATTGTCTTCATACTTGGCCACAACAATCCTTGGGACAAGAACTTTCAGTAGACCACACTAACCTTGACCTTCATACATAAATGACCTTGACCTTCAAGGTTAAATTTTTGAAATTTTCATTTTTTTTTGGCTATTATTGGCTGTAACTTTGTTATTTTTGAATGGATTGTCTTCAAACTTGAACATAATTATCTTCAGGGATATTCCTTAAACATAACTAAACAGACCTTGACCTTCACGCATAAATGACCTTGACTTTGAAGGTCAAATTATTGAAATATTCATTTTTTTGGCTATTATTGGCTGTAACTTTGTTTCTATTTTAAGATATTGCGTAATGTTTCTACTTTTAGAAATTGTGTAATGTTTCTATTTTTAGAAATTGCGTTATGTTTTTATTTTTAGAAATTGCGTAATGTTTCTATTTTTAGATATTGCGTAATGTTTCTATTTTTAGAAATTGCGTACTGTTTCTATTTTTAGAAATTGCGTAATGTTTCTATTTATAGAATTGCGTTATGTTTCTATTTATAGAATTGCGTAAAGTAATGTTTCTATTTATAGAATTGTGTAATGTTTCTATTAAAAATTGCGTAATGTTTCTATTTTTAGAAATTGCGTAATGTTTCTATTTTTAGATATTGCGTAATGTTTCTTTTTATAGAATTGCGTAATGTTTCTATTGATAGGGTTTCTATTTTTAGAAATTGCGTAATGTTTCTATTTTTAGAAATTGCGCAATGTTTCTATTTTTAGAAATTGCGTAATGTTTTTATTTTTAGAAATTGCGTAATGCTTCTATTTATAGAATTGCGTAATGTTTCTATTGATAGAATTGCGTAATGTTTCTATTTATAGAATTGCGTAATGTTTCTATTTATAGAATTTCGTAATGTTTCTATTTATAGAATTGCGTAATGTTTCTATTTATAGGGTTTCTATTTATAGAATTGCGTAATGTTTCTATTTTTAGAAATTATGTAATGTTTCTATTTTTAGAAATTGCGTAATGTTTCTATTTTTAGAATTGCGTGTTTCTATTCATATATATATACAAAATAGATAAACAAAACTAATGTGACAAGACAGACCAACTAAATTTATAAAAAGGAAATGTTAAGATATGTTCAAACTTTTCTATGTTTGCGTTTAGAAAAAGTAAAAAGTCGAGCGTTGCCCCGCCCGGCGGTGGCTCTTGTTGTTTTTACAATAAATTTAAGACATGATTTGTTTTACACTGTCAGGGAATGACTAGCCTTGACTTTATTCAACCTTGCTAGTGGCAAATGTACTTAACTTTACAAAGTCGCTGAGATTTTGGAAGCAAAGCAGAAACGCCTTACCGTTAAAATTAAAATATTCTTTTGATTAAGTACTGATAATATTTGTACAATTAGCACACTTTTGAAGGTATCTATTTATTTTTTTAGATCATACACATGTCTAGCCCAAAAATTAACAAACATATTCTTATGAGTAAAATTCCTCTAGAGTAGGTACAAAGAGTGTAAACACTGAAAATCTTTCAGTGTCAGTTCTTAGATTTCAAGTTTTAATTAACATATAAAGCTCACGAAAATCTATAATTTCATAGAAAGGTTACTTTTTTTATTATATTTACAGTTTGTGTGGAAACAGAATTGGTTATCGGTGGTCCTTCTGCAAACTGGATAAGTCTTTGTGAACATACTCTTGAGTCGATATTCAATCATGCTGAAAGCATGGCAAGTGAAGATTGTGGATTTCAGGAAATTGAAGAAAATGTTAAGACAATGCTTAGCTATTTAGAGAGCAATAAAGATGTTGTATTCAAAGGATGTAAAAGAAAGTGCATCATTTTGTTTTTTGAGTGCGATGACTATGAAAGCTTCCTAAATTTTCTTGATAAGGTAGAAAGTCAGGAGTACACATGCTATTTACGTGACTTATCAAATTCCCTTCATAGCTTCTTTAAGCCAAAAAATCCGATATCAATTACATCCGAAGTTACATCTGAGAGTTTGCAATCGGTATTGATTGGCATGATTAGTGAGTACATGAAAACTTACATAAATCTTATTCTTACTAACTTTGTGCTTTCTACATTTGTAATGTAGACAAAGAAAGATAAATTATAAAGATAAATTAATGTTAATTTCTTACTTCATTTCAGTTTATATTAGTTAAAAATCATCCTAGCATTTTTTTGTGCAGTTTTATTCAAAATAATTATTTCTGTAACGAACGTATTAAATATACTTGTATATAGATTTAGTGTATGTTGCAAGGTTTTTGCCTTGTCCGTATTAACTAACTTAATGCAATGTATTTAATTTTTGATTTCATCAAAAAGATTTATCAAATACGGAATTGCCTTTTCAAAATATATTTTGTGTACTTCTTCATCAACCAATCTATTTTAAGAAACACTCACAAATGAAGAGGAAGGGCGACGACATGTCGTTGAAGTATCATCTGAAGACAATATTCACGAAAACAAGGCAATAGCAATGGCATCACATGGTGTAAACAAAGGAAAGCAGCTTACTAATCAAAGCGAAACATCTCTGTCTCTGAATATTGAATTACAATCTGAGGAAGCTTTACCTCAAATGCTACAATCATTCCAAGGAAAGCAATTCTCGGACAGTTTGAAGAAGGTTGCTGACTCACTCTCACGTCATCATGGCAGTGAAATTAAACTCAAAGCATCTATGGATGTCGGTGATATGCTGGAAGCTTTAGAAGATTCAGGTTTTGAATATTACTTCTCAATCAGTTTTCAAAATAGCAATATTTGTCTCATTTGAAAGTACATGTAATTTTAATGTCATGCGGGGCAAATATTTAAGATGAAAATTCAAATAATTTTACAAATATATAGAATGAAAACATCAGTTTATATTTCTGTTTCAAATGAGTAAAATACTTCTAATTTAAAAGTTTCCAGCGCAATTACAGTTGCTAAAGAGAATAAAACGACGGAGAGTATGTATGCGATGACATCAAAGGATGATTTACACTCACTGTCGGGTACGTACAAATAAACAAAAGATATTTGATAGAATCGACTGAATAATCTATTGAATATGAAACGTGGTGGTTTACCTGCAAATTATATACTATCATCATTATTTATGCTATTTAAGACCTTTTTTTATAGACCAATTCACTTTAAATATGCAGATTTAAGTATAGTTTCTACCTAATATAAGGCATTAAATATGCTAATTGGTCAATTCTCTATCCTCATTTCGACAAAAAATAAAGCGATTGGTCAAGTTTCATCCTGTTACATATATTGTATGTTGATTGTCAGACATTGAAATTTCTGCTTGTTTACGCATTGAGTCTTTTTTAAGACAACGAATGAACGTCTATTTTTCAGTTAGGTATTTAATGTACTTCATATTAAAATCTTCAGCCGTCTGTTATCTGAAATATATGCTTGTTATTCCAGCCTTTATCTTCCTTTAATACAGAGAATGTATTGACAGCTAAAAAGTTTATCATTCTGTTGAGGAGAAGAAATTTTAATTATTTAAGAATCTATTCTTCGAACGAGGCATGTTTTAAAAATCTTAAACCGCCTGCCGGTACAGACCGGAATTTCTTGCATCTCAGACAGGATTATCTACCGTTTACACCGGTGCTAGAAAACTCTGTCTTACACCCCCATGTAAGACAAGTCGCGTGCTTTAAATGACGTCATTGACGCGCGCCTTTTATGAATGAATCGTGTTCTTAGGATGACGTCATTTTTCCGTTATGAATGAAGTTGTAAGTTCATACGCTACTATAAAAAAGTGCGTAATGAGAATATCAGTTTTCATAATTTCTGTTCCGAAAATAATTGACATGTAATATGCAAGAAAAAGAATCAAACACCGGCTGTTGGTACAGACGGGAATATCTAGCTCTCGGGTAACTGTTTAGCGGAAACTCGGCAGAGCCTCGTAACCGCCGTAAACAGTTACCCTCGAGCTAGATATTCCGGTCTGTACCGGCAGCCGGTGTAAGATTCTTATAATCTAGCTCGAGGATAATTTTTTCGGCGGTAACGAGGCTCTGCCGAGTTTCCACTTTACAGTTACCCGAGAGCTAGATATTTCTGTCTGTGGCGACATCAAGTGTTTGATTACTTTTCTTGCATATTATATAGTAATGATATTTTGAAAAGATATTTCAAACCTGGTATCATATTGAGCACTATTTTCTTATAGGAGCGTATGAATTTACAACTTCATCCATAACAGCTAAATGACGTCATCCTAAGAATGCAATTCATTCATAAAAAGCGCATGGTGATGACGTCAATTAAAGCACGCGATACGTCTTACATAAGACAGGTTTTTCTAGCACCTGTGTAAACAATAGATAAGCCTGACTGATATTCCTGACATTTCTTGTCTATTTCCATCTGTTGATCATTTAATACGCCTTTAGGTTTAGTCTCTATTCTAATGCTATCGCATAAAAGTGACGAATAGTTAGGTGTTTCCCTTTTGATAAAAAATAATACATTTATTTGTCAGATATTTGTCGTTATGTTACAAATTAAAATGCTAGTTAGTTAAGTTTTAATCCTAGTGTAAGATGCTGATCAGTCAAGTGTTTTTTTCCTTTTGTCGTTATGTTACAAATTAAAATGTTCGTAAGTTAAGTTTTCATCCTTCTGTAAGCCATTAAAACTGCTGATCAGTCATTTCGGACAAAGCATTTTAAGTGATTGTTCAGGTTTCTACCTTTCTTTTAGACAAAGGATCAAAGTATGTATTTCTGTGCGACATTAAGTTTGTTAATTGTCCAGTCATTTTCTTTCTGTTAAATACACTGATATGTTTAATCTTAAGCTTTTATTTAGGAAACACTCTCAGCAGCGTTATGTATTTAAAGAAATTATATTTTTGTGCAATACATGTATATTCCATAATTTGCCATCTTACCATGAATGATTTGATTAGTCCCCTACCGGTTTACCGGAGGGGACTTAAGGTTTACCCTCCGTCCGTCCGTCTGTCTGTCTGTCAGTCAGTCAGTCCGTCAGTCCACAAAACTGGATCCCGCGATAACTTGAAAAGTACTGAAAATATTTTTATGAAACTTCATATATGGATAGATGGCAGTATGGAGATTATGCACGTCTTTTTCTTTTCTTCCTATGTTGAAAATTCTGGTTGCTATGGCAACAAATAGGCTGAAAATATGGCAAATTTTACACTTAAACTGGATTCAGTGATAACGCAAAAGTACTGAAAATATTTTTATTAAACTTGAAATATGGGTAGATGGCAGTCTGGAGATTATGCACGTCTTTTTCGTTTCTTCTTATGTTGAAAATTCTGGTTGCTATGGTAACAAATAGACTGAAAATATGGCAAATTTTACACATAAACTGGATCCAGTGTTAACGCAAAAAGTAATAGAAATATTTTTTATGAAACTTGTAATATGGGTAGATGGCAGTCTGGAGATTATGCACGTCTTTTTCTTTTCTTCCTATGTTGAAAATTCTTGTTGCTATGGCAACACATAGACTAAAAATATGGCAAATTTTACACATAAACTGAATCCAGTGATAACCCAAAAAGTACTGGAAATATTTTTATGAAACTTGTAATATGGGTAGATGGCAGTCTTGAGATTATGCATGTCTTATCTGTTCTTCCTATTGTGAAAAAATATTGGTTGCCTTGGCAACAAATAGGCTTAAAACATGGCAAATATAACAATATTTGTGATTAGTCAAAAAGAGCTGAAATTTTTTATGAAATGGTATCTTTAATTCAAGAGTTATCTCCTCTTTAGGAATTTTGCTTTTAAAAATGTTATATTTTGGTAACAGGGATGTTTAAGAGTGTCCTTCAGTCCGTCTGTCTGTCTGTTCATAAAAACTGTTTCTTGTGATCACTTTTAAAGAACTTTTCCAACAAATTTACTTAAAATAGAGAAAAATTGCAACACTAGTGAATGGCCAATGGCCCTTCAGAATGTTGAAGGGGTTCTAACCGGTAGGGGACTTATGGATTGCTTGCAATACTATGATAATTGCTTGTTGATAGTATTTTTTTATTTGTTGTAATGTAATGCTTTTGGATCATATGTGATTCAATTCATAATGAACCTTACATAATGAAGCTTGCAAATTTCTTCTTCTATTATTTTACATGTTATCAATATATATACCTAAAAATAAAGTAAGCACACTCGGCTTTTTGTCTCAATTTTGACATGACCATAACGGAAAATTTAAATTTCATTTGGGCAATGGTACGAACCACCTGTTGTCAACCTGCAACGCAACATCTGGAACAAGCTCTGCATTAAGAAAGGCAACATTTACAATTAGACGCCTTACTGGTAGTATGAGGAGAAGTGTTCGAGCTATCATTTGGGCACGTGGTGGTTACACAAGTTTTTTTGATAACAATTTGGCTACATAATGTCATTTTAGGTTACATAATCGTCAACATTTACCAAAATATCCACCAGTTAATGTTTGTAAACGCTCCAATACCTTACTTAAAAAACACTTACATTTTTGGTAAAAACAAAACATTTGCTTATGCTTTAATAACTTGGTTAAAAATAAACTAAACTCATAGTTTCACTGGTTTATGACTACTAAATTGGTTTTGCTACCTACACATTATTATTTCCTAGCTCAATTAAGTTGTCATCTCATGACAAACCTATCAGGTATTTCAATCACAACCAGTTATAAACTTCAGGTGTGTTTAAACTATTGCCAGGTGTATATATGTAATGGATAAGATTGCATTTTGTGTTTCACTTATATATTTGAACTGAACCATGATTGGAAAGAATAATCATCATGTGCGTTCAATGTTTATATGGTAAAAATGTTGTTTTTTTGTTGTTATTTTTTATAAATAAGATATTGCAACATTTATTTTTGGTTTAGATGAAGAGAAGACATTTTTAGCCGACAAAGTCCGTATAATGAAGTCCGTTCTGTTTCTCAGAAAAAATTGCATGCTAGAAGATATGATGGATGTCCTGTCCAGAAAGGGTTTGTTTACTCATCATAGGGAACATTTTCGCATTAACCGTAAAAGAAATGCTGACATATTTATCGCAACGGTATGTTTATAATCAACTTTAAAATAGTACATGTATCACAATGAGAGTAATCCATTTTATTCCAAAACTTGTTAATAAAAGACAATAATAAAATGTATATGAAATTTATTATTTTCCTTCTATATTATATCAAATTAAGAAAATCATGGCTATAATTCCTATCTTCACCTTCTATGCCCTTATTTAGTTTTACATTCCATTTGTAAGCAAATCCCGTTTTTATTTATACATTATTAAATCTAAGGTGTTGACTAGCCCAAAATTGCTTGAAGGCTTTAAACAGTATCTACACGACCGAGGAATTTATTACATTCTGAAGATGATTGACTTACAGAGCGTAACTTTAAACGATAAAACAGGTTTGTAAAATCATGTGTTTCATAAGCTTATCACACTGAAAAGTGTTTGACTCTATTTTTTCGTGATTTTGAATTCATTTGGAAACTATAAAATCAAAATATACATACTTTTAAAGTCTTGTGTACAAATTCCGAGTAACAGTTATAAAAGACGATAGGAATAAACCTGCAATACATAGCTAATTATATGCAATAAACTGACTGTATAAATTTTGGATCTAAACTGTACATAGCAAAGGTTATAAAGTCACATAAAGTCATGTGTTTACTGTTCGTTGTTACATTTTATGATATTTATTTTGTTTTGAACAATGTAAACAAATATACGATAGTATCTTGTATGAATTGATACATGTTTTTCCGAAATAAAAAGAAAGAGTCATCAATGTGTTATATAAACATATATCAATAGTGATTAATGAGACAGAAATAAGGAACCAAACACTCCTAAAGTGCGAAAGAAGGTCACTGTGTCATTACGATATTTAGCTTTGGAAAATGTTCATTTCTACGAGTATAACATTATATTATTATCAGCAAAGTATACAAACTTTACGTTTTTTCTGCAGGGCAATTATTTTCACACTTTTTACAGAGGATACAAAATTATCCTGCACACCATTATCAGTGTTTGGCAATGAAGTTATAAACATTTTGTTAATAATTTTACATTGTAAACAATGTAAACAAATATATTATAGAAGCTTGTACGATACATGTTTTCAAAAAACGAAAAGGAAATCGGTAATACACAAACTACATAAAAGTCATCAATGTGTTATAAATGTATAAACATACATTGATAGTGGTTTATGAGATTAAAATTAGAGACCAACACTTTCTGAAGTGCTAAAGAAGGTCGCTGTGTAATACTTTCAAAGAAATTCAATACTACATTGGTAAAGAGTCATAGAAAATACATCATCTGCAAGTTCTAATAATTTTCGTCAGTCAGTGAAATCAAACGTTTATAAACAATGGACAAAATGTTATAATAAAAACAGTCTTTCACGCCCCGAAAATTTAAAGCTTATATATAGCGTGCTATGTGGTAAAGATAAAATCAATTTAAAAATAAAAATTATTTTACTCGTTGGTATAAAATTCCATGTATCTTATGATGATTATTACATTTTGACTTTAAGCTTCGTTTTGAAACATTTTTTTCTTCAGTTTTATCAGAACTAGAAGGATCAATGACAGGAAAATGTCTAAGACCAAATGGTGGCAAACCTCTTCTCAAATTCACCAGCCAACAGAGATATTTACTTCTTCGGGAACTTGAAAATGCAAATGATATTGCTGCCAGTCTTTTATCAAAGATGATTATTAGTGGTAACGAATTCTTGAAAATAAGTCTTCAACATGCCAGAAGAAAGGGTATAACAATCCTACTTGACATACTTGAAAAATGTTCTGAGAATCATTTAGTCGATTTTTATATAGCTCTGAAAGCAAGCGGGTATAACCCGTCGACTGAAGAATTTGCCGGAATAAACCAATTCATCTCGGGAAGTACGTACAATTTACGCTCACTTGCATTTATTAATTTATATTGTACAACTTTCATTTTTAAATGTCCATAAGCAGTTTCAGAAATATACAAAGATGAACAGTGACTAAAGATCCTGTATGTTGTAATTTAGGTTGTATACCACACTTGAAATTACAAATTACAAATGTATAAATATTATATAATTATGCTTATAAAACAATTTTCAAACATCGAAGAATATGTAAAATATGTACTGCAAATATCTTTACATATTACATGTATATGTAATCATTAAAATATATGCATCCATTATTGAAAAAAAATTGACTTAGTCTTTATAGAAAATACATTTTTATTACCTCCCTTTATTTACATGATATGTTAAATTCGGTAATATCTTTATAAATAATGCATTTTGGAACTTACAAAATTGATAAATCTTAATTTGGGCATCATATTCATGACATAAAACCATAAAAAATGTGTTACAGGATTTTTAAATTGAAATGACTGCCGGTTTCAGCAAGTTGAAAATAGGTTTAAATTGAATATTGCATAATGCTGTCACCGATACATAAATATTTGCACTGCTTTTAATTTTATTATACTAATATTTAATTCAATAGAAAAATTAAATTCAATGGCACAAATTAAAAAAAGGGGTAATCCCCCATTAGCAAATATTAAAAACAAATTTCCACCCTTTTTTTTTTAAATGTTCTTTAATAAAAAAACGAACAAGGAATGTTTTAAAATATTTTTTCCCTTTTTTTATTTTTTTCAAAAGTAAACATTTTAACAAAATTTGGCAAACAAATTTTAAAATTTTTTTAAATTTGAAAATTTTAAATTTTTGTAAAATTTAAATCAATTTGCAAAAAAATGGAGGGATGCATTATGCGGAATTTAAAATTATAGTATATTTTTTTAGGTGTTTTTAAATTATTTTTTTTTTAAAACTATAGATAAGATAAGATCAGTAGTCCCACTTAACATAGGGTAGTTTATACCAGAAATTTTATCTATCTGAAAAAAGCAAACCTCACGTAAGTACTTAACATCCGGATGTCTTTATAATCACCCGCATACACGTATGTTATTAAGTGTTCGTCAAATTGTTTTACTTGAAAAAGTTATCTACAAGTAAAAAATTGCTAGACTAAAACACGGGTCAATTAAAAAATACCTACCCAGGAATATGATGTAATCTTTATTCAATTCCTTAATTTTGATATTTTTATGCTCCCCGAAGGGAGGCATATTATAATCACACTGTATGTCCGACCGTCTGTTTGTCTGCACTACCAGAAAGGGATAGGGGACCATCTAACTGTAAACACAATAGACTTTATTCCGTAACAATAGAGAAAGGGGCCATTGGAAAATAACAATAGAAATGGTCTCTTATCCCAATTCGGCCGGACGTCCGTGTGTCCCAACTTCATTCGTGTCCGGACTGTAACTTTGTCTTACATTGAGGGAATTTGAAATAACTTAGCACAAATGTCAACCAACCACATCAAGACGATGTGTTGCGTCCAAGAACCACGTCCCTTCCTCAAAGGTCAAGGTCACACTATCATTTTGAAGTTTCACATTATCGCAATTAGAGTAAATAGATACACACATTCGTGTCTGGACTGTAACTTTGGTCATGTAAAATAACTAGGCATAAATGTCTAGCACATTCAAAATGATGTGTCGCGTCCAAGAATTATGTCTCTACTCAAAGGTCAAGGTCACACTAACATTTGGAAAGTTTCATATTATCACAATAAAGAATTTATAGGTACACAACATTTGTGTCCGGACTGTAACTTTCACAACAAAGACCCATGTCCCTACTTTCAAGGTCAAGGTCACACTTATAGTATGGAGGTACTAATTATCTAGAGAATAGTTTGAAGATACACATTCATGTCCGGACTGTAACTTTGTCATGCACGGAAGGATTTTAAAATTAAAGTCTACCACATCACGACACTGTGTCGCGGCTAAGGCTCATGACCGTCTGTCCGTCCTTGCGTCCCCCGTACATCCCCTTTACACAACAATCATGTTCAGACTGTAACTTTGTCATGCATAGAGTGATTTTGAAATAATATTGCACAAATGTCTATCTCATTACAACATTTTCCCGCTTCCAGGAACCACGTCTCTTCTTCAAAGGTCAAGGTCACACTTATATTTTGAAGGTTCATGCTATCACAATTAGAGATTACAGGTACAATAATACAAAGAACAATATTCAGCAATTAAGACCTTTCATTCTCTTTTTCTTCCATTATACCTACATGTTAAAGAAACCTTTTCTGAGGCATTCGTCACTTGGGTGACAGCTCTTGTTTTTTCTTCTTTTAAACAAGAAAGTTTAAACATCCATTTTAGTCTTTTGAAAATATTGTAAAATTTTCATACAAATATAATTGAAATCTTGTCAATGGTTTTTAGCTCGACTATTCGCAGAATAGTCGAGCTAATGCAGTCACCCTTTTGTCGGCGTCGGCGTCCCTGTGGTTAAGTTTTTGCATGCAAGCTGGTATCTCCATAACTACTAAAGGGAATGGCTTGAAAATTCACACACTTGTTCTCTGTGATTATCTAACATGATTTGCACAATTCCCATAACTCTGATTTGTCTTTTTACATAATTATGCCACTTTTTCGACTTAGAAATTCTTGGTTAAGTTTTTGCGTGCAAGCTGGTATCTCCATAACTACTGAAGGGGATGGCTTGAAACTTAACACACATGTTCTCTGTGATTATCTAACTTGATTGGAATAAGTCCCATAACTCTGATTTGCTTTTTTGGATAATCTTGCCCCTTTTTCGACTTAGAAATTCTTAGTTAAGTTTTTGCGTGTAAGCTGGTATCTCAATAACTACGGAAGGGAATGAATCGAAACTTCACTCATTGGCACAAGTCCAATATCTCTGATTTGCTTTTTTGCATAATTATGCCACTTTTTCTACTTAGAAATTCTTAGTTAAGTTTTTGCGTGCAAGCTGGTATCTCCATAACTTCTGAAGGGAATGGCTTGAAAACTTCACTCACTTGTTCTCTGTGATTATCTAACATGATTGGCCCTAGTTTTGCTTTTTTGCTTAATTATGCCCTTTATCTACTTAGAAATTCTTGGTTAAGTAAATATCTCCGTAACTACTGAAGGGTTTGTGCCTTTTTTGAACAATTTTATGCATTTTATAATAATAAAGGAGTGATTAACTCGATAAAACATCTGAATAACAGCCTTGTATCTTTTGGGACAATTTTATGTATTCATATAGGTAAGCATTATTATACTCAATGAAACACACTTGTGACAACTTTTCGAATAGTCGAGCGTTACTTGTTGATATTTAATAAGACGAAGGTGTTTCAAGTTAATTAGTTTGTTTTTCTTTATGTCTTTATGTTTGAGACAGTCGAAACAAATATTGGACAGATGTAAGAATACGATTTTAAAGGAGAAAAATGGATAATTAAAAGTATGATTTAAAAGATATATAAGATGATGATTGTTAAGTGAAAATGAATGAGATTAAAGTTTTGAGTTATTTCTTTTCAAATGACATAATCTTATAATGATATATAATTTATTAATATATATAATGTGAAATTTTTGAATCAATTTGGACAAATATCCCCCAAAAAAAATATTAATTTACATTTTGGAACTTAATATTTGTTATATAGCAAAGAATAACAATAACTTTAAGACAGAAAGAAAAAGTTAAGACATACTTTTATGTGCATGTACAGAGTAGCGATTGACATCACAATGCTATATTAAGAATACAATGTCCATCACTAAATTAACTACTCTTTTTTAACATATTGTCAAACCAGGAATGTCCAAAATATTTGCCTTTTATTTCACCAAATGACAAACATATAGCTTTTGCAAAATATTGTGAGAGGTTAATCAATTTTTTGTCAAATGATTCAATTTAAAAAAATTTAATATATACAATATACACCATATTGTGAATTTGGTGAAAATACATGTTAGTAATGTACCAATACCTATGTCATTTGTAAAATCAAATTCAGTTAAAGGGACTCCACTGAGGTAATTGGACATGATGGGACTGAAAATATTTTTTTTCAGATAAATGTACCATTTGATGTAGGTTTAGACCACCCACTAATATTTGTTCAAAATATCAGATCATTCGCACACTTCGTTTTTCCAGAATACTTTTTCAAATCGAAAAAAAATGTCCTAAAATGAAACGCGTTTAAATGCTTTTCACTCAAATCGGGATAAGAAAAACATAAAAATACGATTTTCAATTTCATTTCAAAGTACATTTCTGAACTATCATTGCATATATTTCTGTTTGAAGTGCCCCAGCTCATTTATGTAAGAAATTCGAATGTTATGTATTTAGGCTTTTAAACCTCAGTGGAGTCCCTTTAAGTACAAAAAATCCGGTTCTCTTATATATTATCACACGCATACATGTTTTCATTAAGTATGTGTCAAATTGTTTTATTTGACAAAGTTTTTTACAAGTATAAATTGTAAGAATTAAAAAATGTTTTGATCTAATGTCGACATATATATTTATTGCAATATAAATAAGCGTTCATTTTATATTACTTTATACAAGAAGAAACTGACTTACCTATTAGTATTAGATACAAAATATTCAAATTACCTTATAGTATTAGATACAAATTATTCAAATTACTTTATAGTATTAGATACAAATTATTCAAATTACTTTATAGTATTAGATACAAAATATTCAAATTACTTTATAGTATTAGATACAAATTATTCAAATTACTTTATAGTTTTAGATACAAATTATTCAAATTACTTTATAGTATTAGATACAAATTATTCAAATTACTTTATAGTATTAGATACAAATTATTCAAATTACTTTATAGTATTAGATACAAATTATTCAAATTACTTATAGTTTTAGATACAAATCATTCAAATTACTTATAGTATTAGATACAAATTATTCAAATTACTTATAGCATTAGATACAAATCATTCAAATTACTTATAGTATTAGATACAAATTATTCAAATTACTAATAGTATTAAATACAAATTATTCAAATTACTTTATAGTATTAGATACAAATTATTCAAATTACTTTATAGTATTAGATACAAATTATTCAAATTACTTATAGTATTAGATACAAATTATTCAAATTATTTTATAGCATTAGATACAAATTATTCAATATATACAATATTAACCACTTTCAATAATTGGGGCCTCTTGTGTACGTTTATGTTACTTTTTATACATGAAATTATTTGCACTTAAGATAAGTAAACAATATTTATTCTGTTTCATTGATTTATTAACCGATTATTCTCTCTTATTGTTTCAATTTAATTTTATTTCTAGAAAAAGATAGCGAGAAGAAAGTTGAAACCATTTTGAGAAAACGTCAAGAAATCAAAAGTAGGCAGTTATTACAGCAAGATAAATATCAACACTCGAACACCAAAGGTATAAATGTCGTTATACATGAAATGATTTGCACTCAAGATAACTAAAAAATATTTATTCCGATTCATTGATTCCATTTGACCTACAATATTCAAACTTCATAGGATGATTGTCCATATTGGGTAGAAGACCCCTATTGATTTTGGGGTGATGGGGTCAAAGGTCAAGGTCACTATGACCTTAAAACTGAAAACAGTTTCCGGAGCATAACTTAAGTTCCATTTGGCCCACAGTGTTTAAACTTCATAGGATGATTGTCCATATTGGGTAGAAGACCCCTATTGATTTTGGGGTCACAAGGTCAAAGGTCAAGGTTTCTATTACCTTAGAACTGAAAACAGTTTCCGGAGCATAACTTAAGTTCCATTTGCCCCACAGTGTTCAAACTTCATAGGATGATTTTCCATATTGGGTAGAAGACCCCTATTGATTTTGGGGTCACAAGGTCAAAGGTCAAGGTCACTATTACCTTAGAACTGAAAACAGTTTCCGGAGCATAATTTAAGTTCTATTTGGCCCATAGTGTTCAAACTTCATAGGATGATTGTCCATATTGGGTAGAAGACCCCTATTGATTTTGGGGTCACAAGGTCAAAGGTCAAGGTCACTATTACTTAGAAATTGAAAACAGTTTCTTGAGCATAACTTAAGTTCCATTTAGCCCACAATATTCAAACTTCATAGGATGATTGTCCATATTGGGTAGAAGACCCCTATTGATTTTGGGGTCACAAGGTCAAGGTCACTATTACCTTAAAACTGAAAACAGTTTTCGGAACATAACTTAAGTATCATTTGGCCTACTGTGTTTAAACTTCATAGTATGATTGTCCATATTGGGTAGAAAACCCCTAATGATTTTGGGGTCACAAGGTCAAAGGTCAAGGTCACTTACCTTAGAATTGAAAACAGTTTCTGGGGCATAACTTAAAGTTCCATTTGGACCACAATATTGAAACTTCAAAGGAGGATTGTTATTTGAAGGAGGTAATACTTTATTTTACTCCATGTCTTACAAATGCTTCTTCTTTACTAAAAAAAATCACTTTCGGGCATATAATGCTCCGCCTAGCGGTGCTCTTGTTTACTATTTCGGAAGCAGATAATTCAATGAGTGAAGGGTGTTTCCGGTTGATAAATATAAAGTGCACAATTAAGTAAATGAACAGTAGTTGATACAATTATTCTATGACATACATGTTCAAATATAATATTTAGGCTACATGTACGTGAAAGTTTATCACAAACCCTTATTGGCCCTTTTAGACAAAAGCAACAAGTGAAATAAGAGCTACCAGAGGAAACTGCAAGCTCGACCTTTTTAACACATGACATAATAAAGGGAGACAAAGCTATGAAAAACAAGATATGTGTGTAAAACATGTATGCCCCTATCAGTAGCCAATTAGTTATGTGATCAGGTTATTATGCACAACTTCTGACCCAGTGAACAAAATATGACACTGACCCTTTGACCCCAAAATCAATAGGGGTCATCTGCTGGTCATGACCAATCATCATACCAAGTTTGAAGTTCCTAGGCCTAAACGTTTTTCAGTTATTGATCGGACACCGTTTTTACTTACAAGGTCAATGTGACCTTGACCTTTGACCCCTTGACCCCAAAATCAATAGGGGTCATCTGCTTGTCATGACCAATCATCATACCAAGTTTGAAGTCATAGGCCTCAGCGTTCTTTGGTTATTGATCGGATACCGTTTTTACTTACAAGGTCAATGTGACCTTGACCTTTGACCCTTGACTCAAAAATCAATAGGGGTCATCTACTGGTCATGACCAATCACCATACCAAGTTTGAAGTTCCTAGGCCTAAGCGTTTCTTAGTTATTGATAGGAAACCGTTTTTACTTGCAAGGTCAATGTGACCTTGACCTTTGACCCCTTGACCGGAAACCATTTGGTCTACAGACCGACGGACCAACAAACAGACAAATGCAAAGCAATATACCCCCTCTTCTTTGAAATGGGATCATAATAATCAATTGTGTTATAAATATATTAAATTTTCAGTATCAGTATCAAGAAAACACTCAAATGGTCAATATTTTTGCATCACATTATATGAATGTGGCCATGTCATTAGAACTTCACTGCACTTCTCATGCTAATCTCTTTCACTGTATGAAGTTTCAATCAAATTCCTTCAATATTTTAATCCTCTCTCTGAACATTCAAAAACTAAGTAATGCAGAATTTTGGTTATTTGACACAGCACTTCTGCTCACTAGTCTCTACAACTGTATTTAGTTTCAGTGAGATGTCATTGAAAAGATTTACTCCATTTAAATGTTGATGTATTATAAGAGATGATAATTGTAAAATTAAGTTCGGGAAAATTATGTTTCTTTGAAAATGCACTTCCTTTCACTTGTATGTTTTCGCTGTGTAAAATTTCAATCAAATTCCATAAACTCTTTTCCAGTATTTCTCTTGGCAAGCATAATTAAGTAAATGTATTATAAAGGGAGATAATTAAAAAACTAAGGAATGCAGTTATGGTTCTTTGACACTTTAGCAAATTCAAGTCTGTACAACTGGGTGTAGTTTCAGTGATAGTTTGGTATCAGCATTTTAACTTAAGGGAGATAATTAAAACATGAAGCAAGGTAGAGTTATGTTTCTTGAACTCTGCACTTCCTCTCAAAAGTCTCTATCACTTTGTGAAGTTTACATAAAATCCATTCAATATGTATCTAGTTATATTCATATTCAGGACAAGAGTGTGAAGGACGGATGTCTATCTAAGTTCACAATGTGTTTTTTTTCTTTCATCATCTAAAATCCCAAAAACATCATAAGAAACATATTTTCCTCCCATGACTTTCCCCACAGGTACAAGTTTTCCCCACAAGTACAAGTTATTATAGAATGAACACAGCTATTTATCCATAATATCAATTGAGTCCATACAGAAAGATGGTTAAGAACGCAACTGTATTCTCTCCCTTTTGAAGAGCATAAACTATAATAACATGCTTTTGTAAATCACTATATGGTTCTATAATCAGATACCAGTACGATGAACCTTGCTTTTTGTACCTTTGAGTAATATCAGAATGACATAAACAGAAAGGGGTCAGCCTTTAGTCCCCTCTTGGTGATAACAGAAGGGGATTAATAAAAAGCAACAATTTTTTATTCTAGTTTTTTTTTCAATTCTCAGGTTTATTACTATTGAATTAAACTAGGCAAGCTAAGATACATGTTATACTAGCTCTGAATGTATTTACACAACATTGCTAAACATTACACAATATTTTAATAAATTTTGGAAATGTGCAGTCATATGTTAACACAAGTCAATTCATGAAACTTTTTGGGGAAACAGTCAAAATAATCACATTTAATTTATCACTGCTTGGTAAGTGTCATGGTTTTGTTTGAAGCCTAAACAACCTAGATTTTAACATTTTCCTTCAACACAATGTTCTTGACAGGGGATTCAACTGAAGTGCTAACTCAGACTACCCCTCTAAAAATAGTCCAACTAGTCCGCAAGTGTTCATATTGGTGCCTATACAGTTATCATCACTACATCTGGAAACTGGAGATTCCCACAGACTGTGGTGCTAATCTTCTTTTGTTTGACAGTGACACATGTCCACCTTAAAAAATGCATTAACAATTATACATGTATGAAGTGAAATAATTTGCAAAGAAATGTTTATCTTATTTGTCTCTTCTTACATTTATAATGCAGAGCACTAGATTTGTGTGTCTGTCATACAAAATGACTTTCAATAACACTATTTAATTTCAAAATATATTTGAAATACATTTTTTTAATAAATACTCATAGTAATACTGAATTCTCTTTTTGTGATATTTTTCTGTCACATACATTGTATGTTCAGACAGTATACAATTAATTTGTTTAGACAGCATACAATTTAAAGGTATAATTATTTTATTGGCTACAAATAATGTAAATTTATATGGTTAGTTTTTAATAACAAATATGAATGTTTCAAAGATTATCCCTTCAAACTTTAAAAACAGCCTGTCAATTAAGCAGATCTTAGCAATAAGGCACACTCAGAAGAAAAAAAAGGTCAATCAAAAGGTAGAGAAATATTTTTATACATATTTAAATCATTTGGTAAGAAACAATCACTTCACAGCTGTGCTTTGCTATTGAATATTTTCCTTTGTTTCAATCTTGAATAATCAAAATGAAAACAATGTTCATAAGGATGAACTGTATTGTAAAGTTTGCATAAAAATTGAGGTCTTGTTCAAGGCAACAGTATTGTAAATTTGCAGTTCCTTGTAATGCCCTGTAGGATTGATTTGTACTACCTTAAAACACCATACTATGATATTTCATTTAGGTAAATCTTAGTTTCAGAAGGTAAGAGAGATTATAAATGAGAGAGATAAAATTGACAAAATTTATATATACACTTAACAAAACTTATAACTGTGCAGTTTTTAAATGTGAATTACTTTTTTATTACTTGACATTTTTTACCCAAATTTTGGAATTCATCGTTTGAATGGTTTATTTTTACAATGCTATATTCAGAAATAACGGTTATTTTTGTTGTGTGCGTTCATCCGTGACATGACATAAACAACAAAGTGCACGTGAGGGTGACAGGTTGGTGCTAAATGAAGGTATTATTGACCATCAAGGATTCTATTAAAATAAAGACATCCAAAAAACATAAATTTATTGCAGAATTTTTGCAATAGAAAGAAAAATGGCCATCTAGAAGTTTTACGGGCAAGGGAATTTGCATTTCGGGCGCCCATTTGGAAAATAAATTTGCATAATATTTTCTCAATAAACATATTGACTAAGATTTTACTTTAAAACTAAAAACAAACTTTCTTGGTACTTTCATAATTAATGAAAATATTGGTGTTTGCATTGCTTTTACCAACTGGGTACAAACGCGTTACGGAGATCGACATAAACCAGTCTTTACTGAAATTCAATAAAGCAAATATTAAAATCACAGTGACATAATGCCCT